TATATAAATTTTACAGTATTGATATTGTAATTTTTGAAAATAGAATATTATAAAATTGGAATCAATATCAAGTCTTATTAATTAAGGAAATAACATTATAAGTCAAGAAATACATAGAAATTGAAAAGATCATGAATCATAGATTTGTATTATATAAATATTATTTACACCAATTATAATATAGAAATATTATCAAAATATGTTCAACAATAGTTTGAAATGAAATGTTCTAATTGTCAAATATGATTGACCTATCGAATATGCAGGAGAATTTTATGATAAAGATAACAATTTTTTTTACACATAGAATACTGCTTTATTAGATATGAACATTTATTAAATTATAGAAATATAATCATATTATTATAAATTATTTTAAATTTACTTAAAAATAATTTTAATTAAAATGTCAAAATTGCAAGGGTTTATAGTGGATGAACTAATAGAAGACTAGAAGTACAGAATTCGCAAGTACCATGGTACAAGCAGACAAGAACTTTGGGCTAGACTTCTCAAAAGATTCTTATATGCAATATTTATGATTCTTTCTTCTGAACTTTACTATATAATTATTTTAACCTTTTATAGAATTCTTTAAAATCTTGTTATTTTCTTTAAAATTACATGAGAACACATAGGTTAAAGAAAATTATAGTATGAAATAATTGAATGCAAAAACATTCCTATTATATATATTACTGTAGAAAAACTTTTACTATATTAAATGTAGAAAGGATTAAACTCATATAACTTTACAATAGTAAGGTTAGAATTACAAAAAAATTCCAGTTATTAGAGCTAATATCAATACTATATTTAATTATATATTATCAAAGGTTAATAGCCTCAAGATACATATACATAAATTAATAATAAAAATTAATAATTAAATAAATAATCATAGCATGCCTTAAAAGATAACAGCATAAAGCACATATTGAGGAACTATAACATGAAGAACTCATTGACATTTAATAATGTGCAGGCTGACAAATATTGAGATGATATAGATAAAATTATAAGTAATTAATTAAAATACAAAAAAAATATGATGGACTGATAGTTAGTTTAGATTTATATTGAAAAATGTGATGAGAATTAAAGATACTTATAACTAGGTATTATTTAAGAAATATAATACCACTTTATGCTTTAGTTAAATATTTCATACACTTCTTTAAAATAGTATAAAATTTACTAATATTCAATGGAATGAGCGCAAACTTACTTTTTATACCATTATTATATAATGGTGGTGTAAACAAAATTTTGAATATGTACTGTAACTAAAACATCCGAAAAGTAACAATAATACTTTAAAGACAAAGACTTTACCAGTGTCCTACAATGTTAAATATATACTTTTTAACATTTAATATATCCTTATTTTTTAATAATATTTATATGAAAATTTGCAGGTTGGGTGATCACAGCAAAAAATTACTTTGCCATTTAATTACGCCAAACCAGCCAAACTTATATTGGATATGGATAGTCCATGATAATATAAATACAAATGAAAAAAAGAGTGTCTCTTTAATTTTTAAGACTTATTTATAAAGCAAAAAATAATATAAAGGCGTGGTAATGAATATTACCACGCAATGACTGGAAGGAACTGGGTAGATTTTTGAGGATGGACAGCAAGAAGAATACACAAGATTTAAATTTTCGGTGTACTGCTTGACAATGCGGGCAAAGATTTCGAAATTTAGTCCAGAACTTAACATTAGTAAAACAATAATAAAATAAAATATAAAAATCAGAATAAGATACCAATCCCACCATATAATTAAAAAAGTACATTAAATTACAAGAAATTTTTAATGTCATTAAACTCAAATTTTTTAAAACCATTATATAAGAATTATTTGGAGTCATATAGAATATCTGATATATAGAGTACTACTTAAATTTAAAATATATTTTATAAATTAATTTTATTATTTCAAATAATATTAAAAGTAAACAAACAAATTTCCTTATTTTAAATATAAATGTTAAGTAACGTTATTAAAATCATGTTTTTTTGCATTACTATTAAGAAAAAAACGTTTTGGCATTTTTTCATATAATATTATACCGAAATGTTTAATTATTAAGAAAAAACGTTAACATTATATAAAAAAACGCCAAAACATTCTTTTGCATTAATTATTAAGAAAAACGTTTGGCATTTTTTCATATAATATTATAAAAAAAAATGCCGGAACGTTTTCTTTACAATTATTTAGTAAAGAAATGTCTCAGCATTTTCTTTTACTTCGGGTTAACAGGTCAATCAGATTGGGTCGGGTCATAAATTTGATGACCCGACCCTGAATATTTTGGGTCAACCTGATGGGTCACCTGAATTGACTTGACCCGTTTGGAACACATTTATTTATATTTAAGTTTATGAGATTTTAAAAATTTTATCTGAATTTTTAAAGTACAATATTAATAATACAATCGAATTATTCAATAAACATTTTTTTATATTAAAGCAATTCCGGCCGGAGTTAATATTTCCTAATATGGATATTTGCGTAGCGTATTATTATTCATTATGACACGTGATACCAGATAAAAATATTTTTAATTCAGGCCAGAATTATAATTTTGGCCAGAATTACTGCCGATCGATTACGACCACGTGCGACATGCGTATGAAAAAATTCATAATATTTTTGCAATTAGCAGTAAAAAAGTTCACTAATTTGCTTACTTTAAGTTTCTTGTTTATTTTACTGTAAATAAAAAAAAATTTTTTTTGTTCTCATAAAGGTAAAAACATTATTTATTTACGAAAATTATAAAACGCACCAGTGGTGTTGTAAACACCACATCACGTGATCATGTGTTACTGATCAGTTTATTTTTTTTAACGCGATTTATTATTTTTTCTGTTTCTTTTTTTTAGGTTTCTTTAGACACGACCATCTTTAGCTTTGGGATTAGGTTACAGGTAAGTTTTTTTTTGCTTCTATTTTCCTTTCTTTCGTTCATTAAACTTGCCCTATAAGAAATATGTATACGGAAAGGAAACGGTTTGTATACATTTTATGTACGTTTCTATAGATTCCGTATACAAATTCCGTATATTTAATAAGCAATTCATTTTTGAACATTTTTTAAAAAAACTAATGTATACGAAATGTATACGGAAAAAATTAATCATACGGAATGTATACGGAATTTTTAAACTTAATATTTTTAGAAAATAATTTTACAAAAATCTCGTAACATAACAC